AGAAGGCTGGGCTGGATCATGGGGGGGGGGTGTGACCATATATATATATATATACATATACAGGAATATAAGTAAGTAAAGATTTTTTGAAATAGAAATATAAATAGATAAATAAGTGCCTTCACATATGTTTGTGTATCACGCAGAATCAGGGCCGTGCTCGTCATGCTCTGACTCGTTGTGTATTTGGCATCACCTGGTCTTATTTCCAGGATCTCTACACGAAGCCTGCGTCGGCACTGCAAAGTGCGTATGCAGAAACTCAGAAAGGCCGGTGGGGTTGAGGGATTTCGGGGCACAGATGATCCAACGTCGGGGCCTAAATCATTACCAATACTATTTTGGGTTCTCCTTCTTATAATTATAGTATAGTATAATGGGCCCCAAAACCCTATTCTAATTGTTAAGGACCCTATATTAGTGCAACTTGGCAGTTGTTCCGTCTTTCTCAAAAGAACCGAAGGGATCGAGCGCAGCCACGCCATCGATGCGCAGCGCTCCGGCACCACAGTCAGGGCCCCAGTCTCTGCAGAGCAGGAACTTGCGAACCCTAAACCCCTTAAGCTCCAACTTCCCTAAACCCTAGGGTTTAGGGTTCCCTAAACCCCAGGGTTTAGGGTTTAGGGTTTAGGGGAAGCCTAAACCCCTAAACATCGAAACCTCGAAGCCCCGAAACCCCAAAACCCTACTCGAAATTTCTTCGGCCTACATCCACTTTACCCGGTCGGTGAGCCACCCGAGGCCGTGACTTGCTACCGCCACCGCGACAAACTCGTGGTGGCCAACGTTGCTTAGGGGCACTTGGAAATAGTTTTTAGGTTTTGGTTACCTTAATTCTAAGAGAGTTAAATGTAGGATTTTTACGTACTACAATCCCGAAGAAACAGCAAAAAAATAGAATGAAGTTTGCTAGGGTACCAAGTTCATAGGTTGGTGACTCGCGGGCAGTGCTGGGACGATGCAGCTCGCGGGAGGAGATGTGGGGGGTGGACCATGAGCAGTAAAGAGGGTATATGAGTAGTTCTCTAAATTAGGGTCCCTTTTTGTATCCCCAACATAGTACGGCACCCTTATAAAAAGGACCCAAAAGAGACCCTAATCTAGGAAGTACCCATGTACGTGCCTACACGTGTGTGTGTGCGTGTGTGTGTGTGTGCGCGTTTACTTGGCTACTGCTATGTGTGAATATAATCCGTCTAGACGAACTTGTATGTCTTTTGAAAGTGTTTACTCTCCCCGGTCACTCCAACTACTTCTACCGAATGAGTCTTCACTTTTTCGACAGGAAGTCATGCAAGATTGCGCTTCGGCTTTTTGGAGTTGGTAATCACTTGTGCAATTCGCTTCGGACTGTTAATTCCTTGTACGATTTCGCGGAAGATATCATGAAACTGTACTATTGGTACTTTGCTTTACTACCCGATACGGTACTACACTACACTACACCAGGCTACGCCATGATACACCACGCTACACTACACTATGCCATTTCATGCTACCGTGTGCTCTGCACTGCTACAGTATTCAATACTTTGCGAGATTACGCTATACAGAATATACCTCAAACTCGATACTGCAGACTATGAACCATACTTATGCTAATCGATACTTTTGTATACTATGCCCTAAACCCTAAACCCTACACCCCAAACTATATACTGTTTGTCGCAGGGCGATGGCTCCCTCCACAGCCTGCGGGCCGTGGATCTGTCCAGTGATCAGCGGCCCATGCGGGAAGACGAACGGAACCGGATTCTCCAGCAGGACCGCAGGGTTTTGCGGTTTCAGGGGCCTCAACCCTAAGCTTTAGGGTTTGTCTGGGGCTTTAGAGTGGGTTTAGGGCTTTAGAGCTTACTTAGGGCTTTGGATGAATGGGCCTCGCAGCAGTATTGGCAGGAGGCTCACAAAGGTCTTGAGCGGGGCTTGATCGAATTCTTACCGCTTCCTAAGACGCCCCCAAACCCGGGTTTTCGGGTTTAAGGTTTAGGCTTAAGGTTTAGGGTTTAGGGGTCCCGCAGGACATTGCAGCATTAGGTTGTCAGTCTAGCACTCGCGTCACGTGCCACGGCTTTGACTCTGGTAGATGGGTGAATATTCGCAGGGCGGTGCAGTCCATCCAAGCGCCATGCCGATGCGACAAGGCGCCTGCATGTAGTGTTTCATTGCTCTTTCTCTGTATTGACAGCGAGATACTCGCTAGAAGACGCAACTCTAGCTGTATGGTGATGCGCACATGATACTCGAAAGCACAGTTGTATCTCGCACGCGGTATGATTTGATACCGCTGCAACTGCGTTGTGGAGTACATGCTCGACACATCACACCCTCTCGTGAGTGACCCACGAGAAGCTGGGTCAACACCAAGGGACCCAGAGACGCCAATGTCCGTTAATTAAGGAATGTACCTTAAATCATATTATAGGGATCCCTAGTATGATTTAAGGGGAAGATACCTTAAATCATATTATAGGGATCCCTACTATGATTTAAGGTATCTTCCTTCATTGAGGGACATTGGAGTCTCTGGGAAGGTTGCCTGAAGCATGTTCTGGGGTGCAGGCGCAGCTCTTGGCGAGGCTTGAGGTGTGGGTTTGTGCTTACGCTATGAGCTGAGCTGAGACAGGTGACTGCACAAGAATAATAGTAGGCATAATAGTAATAATAAAGATATGCCACTAACTATTAAAGGATTACAAATATCAATAGTTAATAGTATCAACTAGTTGTTAACAAGATTACAAAAATATTAATCTGTGTTGTAGGCTTTTGGCAGGATTGCAGTTCCCGTGCGAGGTTTCGGTCCTCCGGTGCTGGTCCGTGTTGGTCCCGAGCGAGTGTGGGACAAGACCGGACGTTGTGGACTTTGCGTCACTCGCTCGCTAGGACCGGGTGCTGCGTCGCTTTGATTTGATGCTGAGGACCTAAACTCTAAACCCTGAACCCCTAAACCCTATTTGATTTGTTGCTGAGGTGCTCTTGAGAACTTGAGGTTTGCAGGAGGGGGTGTGGGGTTTACGGTTTGGGGTTTGAGTTCGGGTTCAGGTGTCGTCTGTGACCTGCAAGAAGTGTTGCGCAATGTGCCTAAACGCAGCCTTTGCAGAGCCCAGAGCTCGGCGTGCCATTTTTGTGGATAGGTTTCGCCATGGGGCTCTTGCGGGACGACGTGTTGAGATGATTCGTGATGATCTGAGCAGAGCGCTCCAAGGCTACAGGCATCTCAGCTTCTGCCGAAACGACCCGACCTGCACTGGCTGCGGTGAGAAGTTTGCTACACGGAATGCACTCTTTCGTCACTTGCGTCAGCATGGCTGTGGCGGTGGAACCAGGCGACACACCTCCCGGTCCCTATTGCTCTATGGTTATGTTGGGACGCGATTCCATGGCAGTCAGCTCAACTCGGTCCAAAGTGAGGCGAAGTTCCCAACTGTCGAAGGATGCCTTTTACCCTGCATCGAGGCCGCTCTGCGAAAGCAGCGAGATGTTACATCAGTTACAGTGGAGGTTGCTTCTCGAGCATCGCGAACAGATCGGGGTGTCCATGCTCTGTCCACGGCACTGTGCCTGAGGATCACGAAAGAATTGTGTAGCAGCTCCGAAAACACGATGAATCCTGACAACACCACAAGCTTTCTGGAATTGCTTAGATTTGAACTGCCGCCGGAGCTTACAGCAGCGCATGTGTTTGATGTCGATGACCCGCAATTCAATGCAAGATTTGCCTGCCAGAAGCGGGAGTACTGGTACTATGTTCCCTACCGCGCGCTCTTCACGCGTATGGAGCAAGAGAAGATGAAGCTGCTGTGGTCCAATGCCGGGGCGCTCCCAGGACCGGATCCTTTGGGCTCCTGGATTTGGGTCTCAGGCTTGCCCACGGAGGCCACCACCGAAGACCTGGCCTGGACCATCAAGGAAGTGTCTGCTCAGCACAAGGTGACCCTAAACCCTAAACCCTCAACCCTGAGGTGGCAGGCTGCCTTGAGGACGCGGTCTTCTCCAGGAAGGATGGGTCGGCGAAGCTGAAGTTCTCAGATTCCTCGTCTGCCTTGGCCGCTTGTGCAGCGCTGGACGGCTTCCCAGGCCCTCCGGATGCGCAGGGACATCGAGCCCCATTGCTGGCGCTACCTGAGTCCCTTCTGGAGGCATGGCAGTCCGTGCACAGGCGCCTCCGGTCGGCCTTGAAGAAGCTGACGGGAACCCGATCCTTCCATAACTTCAGCCCTGGCTTCGAAGATGCCAAGGCGGACCCAAGAAGCGTCCGCAGCGTCTATCGTTGTAGGGCCGGTGTGACAGCCGGCTACCGGGACTACCTTGAAGACCGAGCCTTTGCGGTCTTGCGGATAACAGGTCGTGACTTCCTGTACCATCAGATTCGAAGTATGGTAGGCGTGGTCATTGCAGTGACAAGGGGCTCGCTGCCCGAGTCTCATCTGGATCTGGCCCTGAGCGATGAAACTGGCATTCAGGTGCCGCTTGCTCCGGCAAGTCATCTGGTTCTGGCTGAGTGCGTCTTCCGAGATGGCCTCTTCGGTTGCCCCTTCGGTCAAGCGGTCCGTGAAGCGATGGACAAGGCAGGTGGGAGGCGAGGATTGCCCGGGCCAGCAGCCTGTACTATGCAAAGCGGCTGCCAAGCAATTCTCCGCGAGCTAAATTCGCAGACATGTCGGGATGAGTTTGATATCTTCTCGGAAAGTCTTGCAGAAGGGGCGTCCAAGCAGCCGACAGGCAAAAAGGGATGGCCCACACCGATGGGATTAGGAATCTACCTCTTGCTTGCTACTATCTTGACCAAGTGTTTCTTTGACTTTTAGCCGCTGTAGCCGGAGAAATAGGAGCCAAGTCCACAAGACGCGGTTTAGGGTTCAGAGTTTGGGGCTTAGAGGTTTTGGGCTCAGGGCCTTCATGGCTAAGATGTTGGGTTTCCCGCTATACCACGCTCGACTCTGATCTCCACGACTCTGGCTTAGGGTTTAGGGTTTAGGGTTTAGGGTTTAGGGTTTAGGGTTAATTCTACTCCACTCTCTTCCTATTCTGCTCTACCCCTCCTCAGACTCCACTCAACCCTAAACCCTCCCACGCCAGTCTACAGATACGAGGGTCTCCCAAAATAAGGGACCCTAATATAGTCCCCTAAATAGTAGGAGCCTTATTATAAGGACCCCAAAATAAGGTACCCTAATTTTCTGAAACTCCCATACTGTGCACAGGAGATTTATCGATGCATCCTTTCGTGATTGCCGAGCCAGAGGCCAGGAGTCAGACCTGCGGTTTGGGCTAGAGCTGGGGTTTGAACGTTTTGGGTTAAGGTTGGGTTTAGGGTTTAGGGTTCAGGGGTTTAGGGTTTAGGCTAGAGCTGCGGTTATGAGGTTTTGGGGTTTAGGCTTCGAGTTTCGAGTTGTGTGGTTCATTCTTGCCTGGGTTTCGGTTCAGGGGTTATGCAGGGATGACGATGTGCAAGGTCTCCGAGAGGATGTTGTCCGCCAAAGACAAGGTCCTCATTCTGGGTAGTGATGGCGTCTGGGATCGGCTGAACTCACAGGAGGCACCGCTTTGCACTTGTCATTTCGCTCTCCGGGTTTTTGAGACTTTCTTCGACTGGCCGCGTCTATCTCTTTTATCTCTCGAGGCTGTGGACATCGCCGCGCGACACACAGATCCCAACGCAGCCGCGCGCGAGATCGCCAGCATTGCGAGGCAGCGCTGGCACGCAGAGACACAAGGCCTGCTCCCCTGAGTGGCACGAGGGCAGGGCACACCGATCGTGGAGTTTCCGACTTGTGACGATGCGATAATATACGGCACAAGACTGTGTACTGTACCGTACTATATACTATATACTATGTACTATATACTATGTACTATATACTATACACTATATACTATGTACTATATACTATATACGATGTGCTATAATATACCTCCAAGGTAATATTAAACTTGTGCTTCAAAGACGTTTCGAGGCCAGCTTTCAGATGATATCACTGCGGTGCCTTGGCTCCAATGTCTTTCTCTGGAGAAAGGTGGGCTGTCGTGGTAAGGTATGGACGCCTTGTAGCAGCCCTATATACCCCAAACTCCCCACCTGTAGTTTGCTTTAACCAAGTATCATAACCCCAATCAAGATCCAATCTAGGGTTCTTATAACTCTACTTCTCACCTACTTACTATGGCTCCCCCCAAGCCTCCAAATAAGGATTCTTAAGGTGGCGATTGCCTTTTATAGGTATCCTGGGGCCTCCAATTCGGGGATGTCCCTAAACCCTATAAACCCTATAAGCCTTAAGCCCTAAACCCAAAACCTTTAAGGTGGTGATGCACCTGGACCACGGCGACGCCGGCCCGAGAGCAGTGCCAACTGCGCGGCCCAGCTCCAAGCCTCCGCGGCTGCTCCCAGAGACACGGCCTAGGCAGAGGCAACGCCAGAGCCCGGCGAATGGTTTAGGGCTTTAAGGGGTTTAGGGTTTAGGGCCCTGGTTGACAAAACCCGCATTTCGTATACTCCGATAGTCTAACAATCCTTTATGAAGGGAGGGGTTCAGTTTAAGCGAGGTAAAACACCACCATATTAGGACCCCTGTGATAGTCTAACACTCCTTATGCAGGAGGGTCTTCTTTTGAGGGGTTGTACATCCTAAGCCCTCAACCCGAACAATCGAACCAACACCAAAACTCTACGAGAGGCCCACCTTGGGTCTCTCAGAGACCGTGCCCAAGAGCTCCCTGATGTCGGGCTTGTCAATGGCAGCCGAGCTCTCAGCTTCTTTTTGTTTTCGGGGATTTTTCAGCAGACTCCGAAATAGGGCTCGGGGTACTGCAGATAAAAAAGTGTAGTGACCTTTAGGGGATGGTACCCTATGGGTCAATTTTTCCTCACCGCACGCCGAGCGCGGTAGGACTCGTTGTTTCTAGTCCCCCCGATCCTCCGCCAGCGGCCCGCACATCGCGTCCACGCTGAGCTCAATACAGTACTGCTTTCAGGAGGTCCACCGAGCTGTCTTCCACCGTTTGTGCGAAGCGCTTGCTTGGAACATTCATGTGACTCATGTTGCTTGAGGCACCTGCGCCCGACAATTTTGCGGAGACTGCGCCGGCCAAGGCATTGTTCTGCAAACGGCATAGGTCTTGCGTTGCGATAATATTTTCAAGTGCTTCGGTTAGTGCTCCGAAGTGGTACATCGGCACACACACACACACAGACGCAGACTGAGTCCTGCCTTGCTGCGCACTGTTGTTGGGCTGCAGCAATCAGGCATGTTTCTTCTCTAAGTGGGTAGTTCTCTAAATTAGGGTCCCCAATATAGTACGGCACCCTTATACAAAAAGGACCTAAAAAGGGAGCCTAATTTAGACAACTACCCAAGTACTTTGCAGCATGGTGCCGGAATTGGACTTGTCGAGGCGCGGCACAGAAGGTTGGAGCCCCTTCGATCGCAGCGCGCGGACAGGCTCATGGCAGCTGCGTGCACACATGGACTCACTAGTCATGCTGTTCTGGCTGACATTTGCCACATGGACTTGCAGATTCGTGCAGCAACAGCGAGTGCCTTCTGCACTCTCCTCTGGTCCACACCTCCATGCAATGCACTATCTGCAGCACAGCCCAGAGCTTGCACAGCAGACCTCGGAATGCCAATGTTATGAATAGTACTAACAGTATTAGTACATTCCTAATAGGATTAGTATGGTGAATATTGTAAATCATACAATAGTAATGGTTGCTATTTTCCTCATTATTTTTGCAGTATTTGGGGACATTCTGGATGTTGGTTTCAGTCCTAGTCCCTAACTAAACCCTAAACCCTAAACCCTAAACCCTAAACCCTAAACCCTAAACCCTAAACCCTAAACCCTAAACCCTAAACCCTAAACCCTAAACCCTAAACCCTACACCGTCCTAGTCCTAGGGAGCTCTGGCATCCGGGAGAGGCTGGGTCTCCTACACCTGCCCGCTGCCGGCATGCCAACAAGACCCAGGCGCCCAATCGGTGCCGGAGCCCAAGTGCCTAAGTCTCGGTTCAGGGTTTAGGGTTTAGGGTTTAGGTTTAGGGTTTAGCGTTTAGGGTTTAGGGTTTAGGGTTTAGGGTTTAGGGCCTAAGTCGAGAGGTCATATGGGTAATTCTCTAGATTAGGGTCCCTTTTCAGGTCCCCAAACATAGTACGGCACCCTTATCCAAAGGACCCTGAAAGGGACCCTGACTTAGAGGACTACCCACATCACTCAGCACTCTATTGTACCGTCTGCCACGCCAACATCCACGACCACATAATAGCCGGTCTCACCGAGCTGTGCTCTTCTAGCACAGTTAAAGTTAAAACCACAAAGGCTCGCCTCTTCAGGCGGGAAAAATCATCCAGTGTTTTTTTTGCCGGATCATGTGGCGCATGCTGGTTCATGCACATGTCACATACCAGGCTTTGTCAAGCATATAGGGTCTCCTGTCACGTCCGGACCATTCCGGACCCGTAAGTGTCACATTGCTACGGCTGTTAGGCGCGCTCCCCGCTGCAAGCAGAGACTCTGCTGATGGGCAGCTCTCTAAATTAGGGTCCTTTTTTGTCTTGCCCCAAATAGTACGGCACCCCTATAAAAAGAACCCTCTATAGGATCCTAATCTAAAGAACTAAACCCTAAACCCTAAACCGTTGGATCTCAGGTTCCCTGAAGTGACCAGCAAGTCTCACAGTTTCCGGCAGCAAGGATGCCTGCAGTGGTATCAGGAGTGACACCACTGAAGAACAGCAAAAGTAGCCGGATTCAGAGCGTATCTTGGGGTGGGGTTTAGGGTTCAGGCTTGAAGAACCCAGAGACTCCAAAGCCCCTTAATTAAGGAATATACCTTTAAATCATATTAGGGATCCTATCATAATTTAAGGTAGATTCCTTTTAAAACCATATTAGGGATCCTAATTTTAATTTAAGGTCTATTCTTTAATGAAGGGGTTTTGGAGTCTCTGGGAAGCACAGGGAGCTCGGGTGTTCTGCGACTTCAGCGAGCTGCAGCCTCAAGGGCTTTGCGCTCCACTCATCCTCCTGTCCGGGGATATATATATATATATATGTATGTATGTATGTATACATATATATTATATATTATATATATGTATGTATGTATGTATGTATGTATGTATGTATGTATGTATGTATGTATGTATGTATGTATGTGTATATCGCAGACGTTCCAAATGCACGTGCACAGCAGAGCGGTGCATGTACGTATGTGTATATATATATATAGAAAGAGAATGTATATATATATATATGTGATAGAAGGAGAACTATATATGTATACATATATATATATGTCTGTGTGTGTCTGTCTATATACAAAGAGAGAGTATGACCGAATACTAGATGTCTCATAGCACAACATATGCTAATATGTCCGGACGGGGGCGACAAATCAGTCTATTCATTTCACTGGAGCCAAAGCAGAAAGCACTGCGCTGTAAGTGCCAAGCAAATGCTTTTGGCACGCAGCCCAGAGCTACACTCCAAGGTGGCACATCTACGATTCCTGTAGCCCTAAACTCCAATCCTAAGCCCCCGAACTAGAGCCTCAAAAACTGTGAACCCAAGTTAGAGGTCTTTGCTTCGAGTCAGTTTTACAATGCCTGAAGCTCCAAGAACTGTTGTAGCATTTGTGCACGGCGCAGACCTTGAATCAGGTTTCCTCCTGCCAAAGAAGGAAGGAAATCATCAAGAGCACGTAGGGCGAGACGTTTTAGGAAGGGAGTTAGAAGCTGTTGTCTTGGAAGGTGTGTGAGTGTACTGTATTCATGCTGCGCTATCGAAAATTTCCCCTCTGCATGTTCCGATCTGCAAGCCTCTCAGGCTTTTAACGACAAGTTGCCATGCCAACGATGCTGGTAGCTCGTAGTAAATGGGAGTTTCCGAAAATACGGGGTACCTTATTTCGGGGTCCTTGTGATAAGGATCCTACTATTTAGGGGACTATATTAGGGTCCCCTATTTTCGGAAACCCCCAAATGTAGGTCAGTAGTAGCAGGGAGTCCGAGAGTTGTCGTACACCACCACCCTAAACCCTAAACCCTAAACCCTAAACCCTAAACCCTGAACCGTGAACCCTGAACCCTAAACCCTAAACCCTAAACCCTAAACCAACTTCTAAGGTGGCCCTTTGCTCAGATTCCTGCTGTAGGCCAGCTACAAGCAGCGCTCTGAAAGGAGTACTTAAAGGATCATGGGACTTAGTAACTGGGGTTATTATTAGGGTAGCTATACTTATAACTACTCATAACCCCAATTAAGGTACTTTATAACCATACTTACTAAGTCCCATGATCCTCCAAGTAGGATGGGCCCTCTACCAGGCGCAGTCGACGATCAGCCAAAAGCTAACTGCATCAGTCGCTCACTGGATCGTCTACTGCAAAGCCCAAGAAGACGTGGCATGCGTGGGAACAGACAGCTGCGAACCCTCAACTCGAAACCTTGAGGTCGGTCTTGGCCCGGTCCTTGCACAGTTCATCCGGCGCTGCTTCTTACGATAGCTCCGTCCCATGGTCACCAAACTCGCACTGCGTGGCTCTGAAAGATCTGGTCGACTAGAGCTAGTAGCACGCAACCTTGAGAATGAGTGCACGGGCTTTCTGAAAGCTACAGCTCCCTGATTCTAAGAAGGATCCTCCCATTTTTGGGGTGATCAAAGGATCCCTCGTTGTCTGAAAGTCCATGATCCACCGCAAGACTGCATGTTCGTAACACACGCTTTTGGAAAGAGAAAGAGCCAGAGACACATGAGTCGGTTTGCTGCCGATGCCGGCCCGTGGCGTTGGTTTCGTTGGCGCTTTTGGCATCTTTGCTTTGACTCCTGGGCGTTGCCAGGACTGCAGTGCCGCGATATGTCGCGTCCCTTTGAATTTTGCTTGAGTCCTCGCCGATGTCGTCGAGACATCGAGAGTTGCCTGAAGTCTTGGGAGGGACAGCTTCTCGATTGGCATCTTTGCACATTGAAGAACATTATACCCTAAACCCTATACCCGAACCCTACGCCCTAAACCCTAAGCCGTAGAATGCACAAAATGAGGCTCAGAGAACCCCCAGGACACGTAGGGAGGCGAGGCATGGCAGCAGGGCACAGATCGTGGGAGCAGCCTTGGAGCTCTCCCTCTGCTATACTATACGGGAGTTTCCGAAAGTAAGGGGTACCTTATCTTGGGGGTCCTCAAATTGAGGATCCTACTATTTGGGGTACTATATTTTCTACTATACTATATCACATTTTTGCGTGTTATATCATATTGCTGTCACCAGCAGATGCTGGCCCTTGGCTTTGCACATACCGGCGCTCTCTCTCTCTCTCTCGCTCTGTCTCTCTCTCTCTCTCTGTCTCCCTCTCTTTCTCTCTCTCCCTCTGTCTCTGTCTCTCTCTCTCTCTCCCCCACCAATGCGCTCAGCGTTCTGTTCTTGGGGAAGCTGCTTTTATCCCCTTACCCGGCCTAAGAGATCTTGCAACAAGCTGAACAGTGGTGCAGCCTGTGGAACAAGCAGCCAACCTCCGGCTTCAGAGATGCCACATCCGCAGGATGTCCAGCAAAGCGAGCGCCTGCAAGCGGTACCTGTCCGAGAGTGTTTAGCTCGATTCGTTCCTGCTGTTTTGCTTCATGACCGTCACTGTCACCCTAAACCCCTAAACCCTGAACCCTAAACCCCTAAACCCTAAATCCCTTAAGACCTAAACCGTTGCTCAGTTGCTCTCCGAGCTTGATGAGCCGTGGCCTCTGCGGGAGCAAGCGCTGGGCGATGCTGGAACCTATGGTGAGCTGAGGGCTGCTGGTGTGGCAGCGATGCTGGACAGACGGTTTAGGGTTTAGGGTTTAGGGTTTAGGGGGCATGGTATGATATATCGTAGTTTCTTACACCATTATGTATGATTTTTAATGTTGTATACTACGGTTCGTCTTAATGACCATATCCTCGCACAGTAGAGTTTAGCAGAGACTAATTTGAAATGGTTTAACCAGAATCATATGACATAACATATTGTAACATGCTATAGTATGATCTAACACAGTACAACCATAGTATACTGCATTGTTTTATATTGGAAGCGAATAGAACAGAATAGAGGGAGTGTAGTATACTTTTGCTGTATTATAGTGGGGCTGCGAAGGATGGTGAGAGCCCGTAAAGCAAAAGAACCAGCCGCAACCTACCTGCCGGGCACGTTGCGCTGGCTTAAGGAATGGCGTTGGGGTTTCGGGATCTGTTTCGGGGTCGGCAGCAGATAGCAAACGCCAGCCAAGACAGGTAACAGACGCTTTTTCAAGGGGCTGAGAAACATCATTGTTTTTCGCCTGCGATTAGGGCCCCAAACCCTACACCCCCCGAACCCCGAAGACCCTCAAGGGTTCAGGGCCCGAAAAGCCCTAAATCTTTGAAGGACTTCCTGGGTTCAGGGCCCGAGAAGCCCTAGAATCTTTGAAGGACTTCTTCGCCTCGTTTACCCCCCTTGCGCCTGACGATGTCTTTGTCGACCTGGGCTCTGGTCGTGGCCGCGTCGCAGCACAGGAGCCGCCGTTTTTGAGGTGTAGGCTTTTGGGGTTTAGGGTTTTTGGGGATTTTGGGGTTTAGGGTTTACGGTTTTGGGTTTTAGGGTTTAGGGGTTTAGGGTTTAGGGTTTTGGAGTGTCAGGTTTGTGGAGGTTTCAGGGTTTTGGCAGGTCGAGAACCCTAGACCCTAACGCCTAAACCCTAATAGCATCCCCATATAGTCGCACTATAAAAGCCAATAGGATATAATAGAATATAGCACAAGATAACACAATATGAACTCCAAACCCTAAGCAAAAAAAGAGGTGGTGTTGCAGAGCCCGGCCCACGCAGTTGGCATCGAGCTCTCACTGTGCCCGGCTTGCAGATTTCTGCTTCCCCATAGCTTTACCCAAACCACCCGAAGCCCAATATTTCTCCAATCTTCCCCTTACAGACACCCTTAGAGTCCCCGTAAAGGAACGGTTTAAGGTTTAAGGTTTCGGGGAACCCCCCTTTTCTAGGGGCCTCCGTAGTGGAGAGATCGATGCTTGTGAGGCCCCGTGCTGCTGCAGCTTCGAGACTGCAAGGGGCTCTTCAGCGTCGCGATGAAGAGACTTAGCCTTAGTAGTAGTAGTAGTAGTAGTAGTAGTAGTAGTAGCAGTAGTAGTAGTAGTAGTAGTAGTAGTTGTTGTAGAGAACGCAAGGTTTAAGCTTGTTGGGGTTTATTAGGGTTGGTATTGTCTTATCGCTACTTGATTTGTGGCCGTTTCGGGGTCTAGTTATAGAATCCCTACATAGTCCTAAAGGTTAACCTTCAGTTCCCCGAGTAAGGAGAGCTCATCCCGGCTGACGTTGCTCCAAGGCGAGTGTCGTTTTCCTGCAGGGAGCACATCTTCCAGTTTAGATGGGGGAGATTGGGGTGAACCGGTTTAATTCCGTGTAGAGTCATTAGTCTTTTGCAAGGTCTCCAACCTCGGGCCTTGAACCCTCGGGCTTAAAGCCTTTCCCTAAACCCTTAGCCACGGCGGCTCAAGCATTCAGCCTTTCAGCTTTTGTGGCCCTTTTGCTCCTCTGACGCCCTTGATCAGTCATGGCCCCTTTTTGCATGAGGGTTCTAACGCCTGGGTCCAGACATTGGCCGAAAGCCGCAAACAGTTTGCGATTAATGTCGTCAAGGTCGCAGCTCGCAAGCTCGAAGAGGGGCACGCTTGGATCATCAACTGGACCGACTGCAGCGGTACCCATGGATGAGGATACTTCTCAGCGGGAGCTCTTCTTGATGAGCGAGGACCTCCCGGAAGCCCTGCGCAAGCGCTGTGAAGAGGCGGACACTACCGCTATTAGCGCCGCAGCATGTCCAAGCCACGTTAGGTAAACTTGCTGTAAAAAGGCGAGCTCCAAGGCCTTCTCACCTACAAGACAACCCTGGCTGTTCGGTGACGGGGAGCCTTTCGAAGATCCCTGGCAGCAAGGCGATCAACCCTTTTGCAAGGCAGAGGATGAAAATTGCGGCAGAGATCAAGAAGACGTACCTGGTGACGGACGATCGCACCGCCTGCGACGAGCATGAATTACGGCTCCACCGCGGAAGGGCTGACAAGCCAAGGTCCCATCCAGGCGCAAGCATGCAGCGGCTGTTTTGGAGTGAGGTCGGCGCATTGCTGAGGGCGGCGGAAGAAGCGGAGACTCTACCTGGACGAGAAGGCAAACCGGGAGGGGAGGGAGATGGAGCAACAGGTCGGTGAAGCTGAACAAGAAGCGCATGAGACGTAAAAGGTTGGCAAAATGGACGGGCCACGGAGATCTGCGACTTTCCGACCATGCTTATGCAGGAATGTGTCGGCAATGGGAACAGCGGGAAGTGCAGAATGAGGGCGAGACAAGCCGCGAAGGCAAAGGATGAGAATCACAATGGAGCATGAAGTCCGGGTTGTCGCACAGAAGGCGGTGTTTCTACTGAGACGTGGAGATGGGGAACTCCGAATCCAGATCAAGCCGGACGAGGTCGAAGGAGAGGTGGAGGGATGGGGACGCCGTGCTTCGACAGTGGACTTTGTGGCCGCAACCCCGGCTGAGCCCGACGACCACGAGGTGGATGAGGTCTCTAGGCTCGGTGGAAGGGAGGAGACATGACGAACGAGCAGGTGATGGGAAAGCTTGGGTTGGAGTGGCTTGTTCAAGAGCCAGACGGAGGCGGAAAATTCGAGGGATGCAGGGATGACACAGCTGCGGGCCAGCCAGGAGATGGGAGAACATCAGGGACATAACGTGAATAGGTAGGCGTGAAAGGTTTAGGGTTACATGGATGAGGGCGAAGTGATGATCCTCATCGGAGTTGTCAGCCACTAGTCCTGACGGGCTTGCATTGCGAAGCCGCTGCGTGCCTCACGTGGGCTTTTCGCAGCTAACATACCTGCAAGGTGGAGAAGAGCCCCCCCCAAAAAAAAAACCTAGACCTTAACACAAGCGCTCGAAAGTTGTAACCCGCCACGCTGCAAGAGACAGGAAACTTCCGGGAGATGAAGACTTGGTCCAGCGCTACGCTGGTCTATGTCAATTCTGCAGTCCCTCGCTTATTCCTTGGTGTCTTATTCTATTGCAACAAACTCGAAGGGATCATTGAGTTTTGCTTTGCGTGTGGTTCGAACATGTTCTAAGGGCTCCTCAGTACCATCGGCGGGAGAGATGGGAAGGGTACCAGACCTACAGTGAGCGAGACCTCGTCAACCAGCCCATCGAAGATCGCCAGCCCTCGAAAATCAAAACCACTAAAACCGTAAACCCGAAAAACACCTTATCCATAAACCCCAATGTCTCTAAAGCCTTACAAAAAGGCTTCTTCACATCGAGGCCTTCCCTGCGAAGCTCCTTTTCGAGCTGAGAGCTGCATTTCAGCAGCTGCAACCCGGCTCCCTGGTGCTCACCGTGCGTCGTCTTCCAGGCAATATGGGGGCCTTCATAATTAAAGTAGGGTCCTTTGCAGTTTTCGTCAAAACGCCATATAAAGGTTGCGATAAGGGTCTTCCAGGCACAGAGTGGCACACCGCGGTCATTTAGGGAAGAACCAATATGAGGCGCAGGCAGGGCATAGTGTTCTGCTGGAGAATTTTGCAAGGCATGGCGAATTTCAGCAGCGACCGTCATTTCAATGACAATAAAGGGGACTACACAGCGAATCGAAAAACCGTGAAATTCAGAATAAGAGCAAGACTAGTAGATTTTAACAGTATACATATACGTGTGTGTGTGTATATATATATATATACAAACCATGGTAGTAACAATGGTAGCGGTGGAAGTAGCCGTAGCAGTCGTAGCGTAGCAGTAGTAGTTGTAGAAGCAGTAGTAGCAGTCGCATAGTAGTAGCAGTAGCAGTAGCAGCAGCAGTAGCAGTAGCAGTAGTAGTCGTAGTCGTAGTCGTAGTAGTCGTAGTAGTCGTAGTAGTCGTCGTAGTCGTAGCAGTCGTAGTAGTAGTAGTAGTAGCAGCA